TGCAGTAGGCCAATGGAAGAGGATGCTCCTGTGAGATATCTTACTCTTTTTCTTTTCTCCTGTTCTCGTGATATTTTTAATTACGGAATTTGGCTTGTTCTATCCATGATGATATATAATTTCTTGCTTTAAATGCTGGGCTGCTTGTTCTTTTTTTTTTTCCAATTAATGAGTGAAGCAGTAATACCTGTTTAGAACTCGTTAGCTAACGAGTCTAACATAAATACTTATTTCCCTATTCACTTCTATTTTATTTTTTCCAAAATATCATGAAATTCTTCTAGTGAATATTTTCTCTGAGTTTCACACCCATTCTTGTTGAAGAATATATTTTCTTTAAATAAACTTTTGAAGCCGTTCTTGAACATTGGTTTCTTTGTGTCTACGAGCAAATTAGCACAAACAAATATCTTTAGATTTAAGCATGAACCGAGTACTCCTGTTAAGTAAAAATATAAAAATAAAAATAAAAATAAATAAGCTCGTGTTTGTTTTTAGCTCAGTTTGTTTAAAGTCGACTTTTTAATAACAAAACTAGTTTGTATCCATTTTTCTTTGGCATAGTCTTAATTTCTCTTTTTAAAAACTTTTTATTTAAATACCAGGTGGAATCACGGTGCTTCATTGTTTATATCTTTTGGATATTTTTCCCATGAAAATTTTACATATATTGTACTTGCTATTACTGAATCACTCGAGTAGTTGTTATAGCGTTGTGACTCTGATGTATATTGCAAATTGCAAATTGTGAATTTCTTTTGCTTTGAATGTTAATACTGAGGAAAAAGTATTTTTCTTCTGGCTAGAAGATATAGGATAGGAGGCTAGGTCACATGTGTTTTCTAATCCTCTTTCTTTACTCACAGCTTGGCTGTTAATAGGTGCCTAAAAGACATCGGAACTGTTTGGTTTAGTTTACTTCTTTGATTTTTAAAAAATTGTTCTAGTTAATCAGACCTAGATTTATGCATTGTGTAGATGTCTTGCCCAGTCAAATGACTTTTTTATTTGTCACCAGTAAGGTTTTTGTTAGTGGGCATATGCTGTCTACTACGCTAGATACAACATTTCAGAACTGGTGCCATTTCTTGGCACATGTCAACATTGATTTCTTGTCAATTAAGGTAGTCTAATGGTTAGGCACTTGATAAAATCTAATTGTAATTTTTTGATATTTTTGCTCTTTGGTTTTAATGCTGCTGCTTATTCTGTTTTCAACTGTCTATTTATTTGTATAGACTTTGATTTGATCCTAACAAAGAATCTTCACATTCTTAATTTGCCTTTGTATTGTTTGATTCCATGTAAATTTTTTGCTCTTAATTCTTAGTCTTAGATCTGCTTACACAAAGGTTTTTATTACAGACTAAGAACGAAGAAGAGGAGTTCAACACAGGTCCACTTTCTGTTCTAATGATGAGTGTTAAAAATAACACCCAGGTATTCATTTACTATGCACGTGGGAATCATGAAGTTATCTTGTTTTCCGAGTAAATTATGTGTAAACTATTGAAATATCTGGATTGCTTACTGGTATTACCGCTTTGAAGCAAGGATAGAGATCCCTATTATTTCTCCACTTTCTAATTCTAATCTTCAAGCTTCACTACATCCCTGGTCTGCTCTTCTGTCCCCTCCATTACTTTTTGTTGAGGGTGATTAATCTAAGATTTTAAACTCCTGTTAAACTATGTGCAACTTTAATTTTTTCCTTTACTTGGTCTCCAAGAATTATGTGCTTATTGTTTATTGGCTGCTAGGTCCTCGTCAACTGTAGGAATAACAAAAAGCTTCTGGGCCACGTGAGGGCTTTTGATCGCCACTGCAACATGGTGCTAGAAAATGTTCGGGAAATGTGGACAGAGGTAGGAATTTTGCTTGGAGTATTGTAGTTTTCTTTGCTATGTTGGCTTCATTGTGCTATCCTGTTTCATCACTAAGTTTAAATCGTTTTGTTAATGGTTCATGGTGTCTTTATAAAATTATATGCCCTGTACAGGTGCCAAAGACTGGGAAAGGCAAGAAGAAAGCTCTTCCAGTTAACAAAGACCGATTTATCAGCAAGATGTTCCTTCGTGGAGATTCGGTGATAATTGTCCTCAGAAATCCTAAGTGAGATGTATGAAAATCTTATGCCTTTCCCTATTTCAAGCTCATCATCTAACTGCATTTCATAAGATTCATACTTGCCACGAACTTTAAATTCATAGGCATCTGTTTTTTTTTATTATTCTTCTAACATCGTCATTAAGCAAGTGAAGTTAAATGTTAAGTTTTCATCAACTCAGAAATTATTTTCTTAACTGGCAGTTGCACAAATGCATTTGGTATTCACTGTTGCTTGCTGATTGGATTCCTCTATCCTTTCTGGCAATTGTGTCTGATTATTTGAGTTTGTCCCTTTAGCCTGGGAAGGTGTTATTAGATTCATACTTGTCTTATCCTGTGTTTTGCTCACGAGTCACAGCCTCTTCAACTTAAGCAACCCAAAATCATCTTAGTTTCCTATGTATAGGTGTTTGTTTAACATGGTTACCTATAATTAAATGCTCCTCCAAACTAATGTAATATCGGCCAATTTTTTTACCATTTTCATTTTCCCAACTTCTACACGTCATGTCTAATTGCTTTTCTATTTTCCTAACTTCCCGTTTCCCTATCTTTATAAATCTCTGAAGGAAAATGGCCTGTTTTAACACACATTTATAAATTTTATCATCTTCGGAAAACAGGTTTTTGTTTCTTGATAGAGCAATTATTTAGGTATACTGTAGCACATTGAGCTTTAGAATTATTCCTCGTTATAATGGCTTAACAGACATCTTCATATTGATCTTTGGAGAACGAGCTTTTCGTTTCTTGATGGAACAATGATTGAGGTGTACTGTAGCATGTTGAGCTTTAGAATCATTCCTCATTATCATTTTATGTTATACCATACAGTGCTGCATTCGTAGCATGCTAAATGCCTTCATATGATGCAGGTAACAGTTACTACAGGAAAATATGGATCTACTTCTGATTCTGGAAGAATTAGCTGATGGTTATCATTTTGAAGTTCTTCTACGCATATTCATGAGGTTGATGTATGAAATTGAATACCTTATAACTCTTGTTTATTAGCCCATTATACGTTGGATAGACTTTTAACATTTGAGCAGTCATGAATTATGAAGCTATACTTTCTATTGAACTGATTTAAGATGAGTTGATTGCTAAAATCTTGCAAACTGCTGTACATGTTTTCTTTCAGCCTCGTTACTATGTGCTCAGTTTGCTTGTTGATTGGTTGTCTGATTATTTTTTTCACCAATTTCTTGCAATCTTCTGTCTGTTACCTGGCTCTAGAAATTTAAGAAATGGGGTTGGATTAGATGGTGATCTAGATCCAATTGCTCTGTCAATTGAGATATATTATAAGTCTGTCTGTCTGCATGCATTTTCATTTGATCTTAGTTTGTTGGAATATATGATGAATTAGATTTTTGTATAAAAACTTAGCCCCTGTTTGTCTACCATTTTTACAAACTCTGTTTTCTAGAGTAAACAATTTCATCCACATATTTATTTAATAAAATATTCCACACACAAACCAATAAAGTTACTTGAAATTTCAATTACACATTCTCCAAAAAATAGTATTCATTACATCATTTTAAACCCAAAAATGGGTGACAAACACACCCTTAATATACTTGCTTGCTCAATTTACAAGGGATTAAAAAACACAAGCGTATTAGAAAAAAAAAACATTTCATTTTGGATTAAATGAAAAATTGGATTCTGATAGTTGCTTGTATTGAGTTTTGATTTGGGTAAGTCAGGTGAGACAATTTAGATGATTACTAGGTTTGTGGTTAGGAAATTAGCTTTAGAACTCGTTTAAGTCTGTCTAGCTTAGCTGCTTCAAGATTTGCGTCAAATATGATTGCAGGGTTCATTTTGGGTACGATTTTGATTCGCTATTTAGGTGTAAGTTTTGTTTGGTAAATGCTGTTTCAGGATGGTGTCGGTAAGAGTTGTTCTGTGAACCTCGTTTGGGATATACGTTTTGCATTGAATCATGCTATATGTACATCCAGGTTGACACCCATGTAAGTTGATAGATTTCTAGACTTTGATTTTAATGGCATTTTTTTCTAAACAATGGCCAGATTTTTGACACCTAGGGGGGCTTCAAACAAGGTTTACACAATGTGGGTACACCTAGCTTGCTCATGCATTAGCCTTGATATCAGGACTTGTAGATCGTTGAAATCAGTGCCTTGTATTCGAAAATTGATTTTATGAAATTCTGTGTCTTACGTCTGCTCGTAACCACCCAAATGAACCCAACCTATACGCAGGCAACATTGGAACAGAATGGCTGTTTTTGTTTCAACCAAGCTTATTAATTTGTTTCATTCGCGTAAAAATTGTAGAATAAAAGATGGATTAAATATCAAATATGTTGGAATGGGCAACGAACACTACACGACTTTTGTTGTACAACGTTGTGCACTAAACATGTTTATCAAGTACTTCATATCTAATCGTGTTTGCATAATTCCGATATTTATTAAGTGATTAATATATTAGGCCTCTAAAAAGGTGATTATATAATTCTCAAGAAGGATTAATAACTTTGACATGATTATGTAAAATAGGAAATAATTGTCGGAATATCCAACTCAAGTTTGTTCTAATAGGCCGACATTGAAATGTGAAACTGATTCATTGCCACTGCTGATTCCGTGAAAAAAAAAATAGTAGTGAAGTTATGTAGGTAGCTGCGAACCTTAAATGTCTGGCACAGAATTGAAGACCACAACTCCTCAAGTACATTAAAGGACATGTATGCTAAGATTAAAACAAAGACTATAAACTATTTAAACTAGAAGGTTGGAGTTTGTCCCTTGCCTCTATGCATCTCTGCCGTTCTAGTCCGGCATCAGGGAGAAGGAACTGTCTCCCTAACCAGTATATCCCCTTTCATAAATTTTAAAGAATAGGCCATTGGATTATGTTGAAGTCGAGGACTCACGTTCCTTGTGGTCCCCGAAGATACGTTGACTGAAGTCAGTGACCATCATCGGGAGACCCTTACGAAGAGGCACTTTGGGCTCCCAACCCAGCAACTCCTTCGCCTTAGAAATATCAGGCTTACTTTTGTGTGGATCATCCTCTGTATTGGGTCTGAATTCCATCTTAGCATTAGGATCAATTGTTTCTTGAACCACCTGTTCCAAAATAAGAAAAATGCTTAATTTACTGTGAATTTATAACGCAAACTTGCTCTATGTTTTTCTGCATCACACTAGTAATCCTTCCCCAGATTTCATTTTCAGTCCCTTGCAATGGATTATGTGAAATTAATTTCTCCAAATGAGGCCTTCTTTCCACCCCGAAAGGACCAATCCAAGATCATATAAAGGTTTAAATTACTGGAGTGGTTGGGTAAAATTACAAGTTACTAAAATTCTAATGTGATAGAAATGAATAGTGGATAATTGAGTAATAAATTGCATAACTTATGAAATGTGTTGTTAAAATTAAATTTTATGTTACTTTTTAGGTTTCCCAAACACAGTCCTTGTTTTAAGAATAGAACTGAAAAGAGTGAACTGAGATATAACCTGAGCAAGTTCAAGCATGGTGAATTCACCCGGGTTTCCTAGATTGAATGGTCCGACATGTTCTCCTTCCATCAAGCGCATGAGCCCCTCAGCCTTCCAAATCAAACATAGAACTTTAATAAGTTTTTCTTTAAAATAAACAAGTACTAGTCAAATGTACACAACAACGGCTTCAATACAAACACTTGGCACAAGAGTAAGAGCTTGTTTGGGATAGATTTTTGAGGGAAGAATTGATTTTGAACAGTGATATGATGGGAAATGTGTGGTTGAAAAAGAAGAAAAAATTATTGATGTGATGGGAAATATTATTTTATTGAAGAATGCGTGGTTGAAAATGAGAATTGATTTATTGTAGAAAAATTTAATCCCTCCCAAATATGGCCTAAGTTTCTATTATTATTTTAGTGGAAGTAGAAGATATCCGACTTTGTCGTGATATGAAATCATAGCAAGAAAGAGAATACGGCCCACGTTAGGATCATATGCTCAGCTCATATTTGGTAATCATTTTTACTCAAAGAATGCATTTTTTTAATGTGATAAAAAATATGTTGTTGAAAAAGAAAGAAAAATTATTAATGTGATGAATAATATTATTTTATTGAAGAATATGTAGTTGAAAATGAATACAAAAATGAGAATGAAAAAAATAATGTGGCTCAAACAGGGCTTAACAATAAAAAGAAGAAACAAGGGAATAAATTACACCAACTTGCACACTAATTCAATATTAACATTTTAAATTAAAAATAAAATAAAATAATTGCAAAACAGTTATTAAGATATCCATATAGAAATATCACATATTAAGCAAGTAAAAATAAGTTTAACGTCTTACCTAATCAGAAACAAATTGCAAACTCCTCGTCTGCTTTCCATCACCATGAACAGTCAATAGCTCCTTCTCCTTCCTTAAAGTCTGCAAAAGATTATAGGATCCCATCTCAGTCTCACGAGTTAACTACACTATACTTAAAACTGGCCTGATAAATTACGGGGTCAAATTACCAGTCTTAAGCTGTAATCTTAGAAGTCGGGAAAGGTTTACCTGGGCAACAAAGTTGCTAACAACACGACCATCATCAATGCACATCCGAGGTCCATAAGTGTTAAAGATCCTAGCAATTCTCACCTGTTGTCCAATTACATAATTGCCTCGTGAAATAAAAAGTTATTTGAAGAAAAAGGAAAAGTGGCCTCAACGCCGGCTCCTCTGTGATAATCCATGGTTAACGTTTCAGCAGTACGTTTTCCCTCGTCGTAACAGCTCCGAACACCTGTCCCCAACAACACCGTATTTGTAAGTCAATCATGGACCTGATTCCATTATGTGATATGCCACTTCTGCCTCCCACCCTCCAGTGAAAACACCCTTCTTTACAAATTTAAAATTAGTCCAAAACCAAACAAAGTATGCACAGACCCCTCGCACATGTGAGACAGTGTAATATTTTCGGTATGGACAATTCGGTAAAAATAGTTTTATTCTAAGAATAAACCCCACCATTACTACACGTGGGATGACTCTTCATAAATCTAACCATTGAGCGTACGACTCGGTTTCCCGCCTGGCCGGCTCACGTTAGTCGCACGCCATGTGGCCATGCTTACTTGCGCCACACTGGCCGACTTTGTTGGATCCCCGTTTCTTAGATTCCGACATTATTCAGCCCACGCAAAAATATTAATATTCGAAAAGAAAAATGCATAATTAATGAATTCAGACGCACCTATTGGATTGACAATGCCCCAGTAGGTTTCAACTTGGGGGTGTTACAGTGGATCGCGGTACGCCTCACTGGTGGTCGTTAGCAAAAATCACACACCGACACGCTTTGCCAGTCCCAGCATGTTCAATGTTCCTACCACATTTGTCTTGTGCAAAAGAATTAAGGATCACTCATGACAGGGGTGGATGCAGACTTCTTGAATGGAGGGGGCACAATCAAAATTTAAAAAAGTGACAAAAAAATTAAAGTAAAACATAAGGGAGGGTAGTCCTTCCTTTCATAAGAAACTATGGACTGCAAACAATTTAAGCAATATAATTCCAGATTATCCTTCAGTTATTCTAAGTTTAACCAGCAGAAAAATACAGTCAGATAATTCTACTAGTTTTACTTGTAATCAGTAAGTTCTTTGCCAAAATTTTGATGAACTAGTTAAACTCCAATAACTCGTCTCTCTTTTTTCAACTTTTAGGATTTATTATTCCCGAAGGATGGAGGATATACATTTACACGAGAGAGATTAACTATGATCCACACCTTTATCTCGATCCATTAACCTTCAATCCACGGAGATGGCTGGTTCGTAATCCTAAATCCTAAAACCGAAATTTTTATGCGATTGGTCTTCCCTAAGTACTTGCTACACATACTAATCATTCACTCGATAATTGTAGTTTCTATGTTAAAATTACTTATTTTGACGTTAAAATAGATAATTATTATTAGAATAGGTATCCACCCAGGCCACCCCCCAGGTCCGCCCCGACTCATGATTTAATGGCCTAATTCTAATAACATTAACATGAGTTTTAAAAAAAACTAATTGAAAAACGAGAATTAAATCAAAAACTAATTGAAAAGTTAACGAATCGCATTGAAGGATATAATAGTTTTGACAAGATTGTGCTTCCCTTTTCATTTCATTTTATCTTTCTTCATCTTTCAATTCCCTTCTCTTTTTTTTTCCCTTTCTCTTTCTTCAAGTGAAGCGCTCACAACAGTTCCACCGTCGTTTCCATTTTCATTCTTCTCACATACTTTCTCTTTGGTTTAAATTTTATCTCTTGCTCTGTATCTGTACAGTTCTAGATTGGAGGTTAATTATTGGGCTGCTGTATATTTCTCTTTGGTTTAAATTTTATCTCTTGCTCTGTATCTGTACAGCTCTAGATTGGAGGTTAATTATTGGGCTGCTGTATATT